CCTCCCGTTGAGATCAGGAACACGACAAGGATGCCCACTCTCACCACTCTTGTTCAACATAGTAGTAGAAGTCCTAGCAACAGCAATCAGACAACAAAGAGAAATAAAAGGTATCCAAATTGGCAATGAAGAAGTCAAACTCTCTTCGTAGATGACATGATTCTTTATATGGAAAACTCAACAGAATGCACAATTCGTCTTCCTTTTCAGACAAGATCATGTTCTGTAACAATAACAAATTTGTCTATTGAAACTTGAAACCTTTTTGGCAATGTAGTAACAGAATTGTCATCTCCGAAATATATTTAGGCCAAACGGTATAAGAGGTTTCCTTTGTGAAGAAGTTCATACCATCGGTGTCTAGCTGTGGTGTATGAAGGGCATTCTATGCTCTACAGCTTTCAGATTGTGTTGTCTTCTCAGAACCCACTTTGTCATTCCAAAAACTGCCTTCCTCTTATAGAAAAAGGTAGTGGAGGCAAACATAAAACTTTTAGGATTACCTTCTTCCATGTGTCTCTCTGTGTGTGTTGTGGCTGTTGCTTTTTTGAAGTATAGTTAGTAGGTAATGTAACATTGGCTTCAAGTGAAGTATAGTTAGTAGGTAATGTAACATTGGCTTCAAATCTTACTCTTGAACCTGGAAATTTACCATGTGTATATGTTATGCCTGCTCTCACCAAGTGTAGCTACATCTGTGCTCATGTAACTATTACAATACCATTGACTATCTTCCCTCCACTGGACATTTCAACCCTGTGATTTATTCATTCTGTACCTAAAACCCTGTACTTCCCACTCCCTTCCCCCATTTTCCCATTCTTCCCTGCCCCCTTCCCCTCCAGCCATCACCTCTGTGTTTTCTGTATTCATGGGTCTCTTTGTGTTTGTATCTGTTTTCTTGTGTGATTGTTTGTTTTGTTTGTAGATTCCACATATACATGATATCACCACATGTTCGTCTTTCTCTGCATGACTTACTTAGCTTAGCATTATAGTTTCTAGGTCCATCCACATTGTTGTAAAAAATAAGATATCCTCATTTCTTTGTCAATGTAATTTTTCAGTATGTGTGTATATCTATGTATACTGAATGTACACTATTTTATTTCTTTATGGAATTAGGAGTTTATATGTTCTATGAATTTACAAAGGTCTGTTTGGGTGTTTGACCACCACTAATCATTTTAAGCCATATTTCCTGTAGGGAGAGGACATATAGAATGCTATCCAGGGAACATGGATACAGAACAATTAGTTTAACTTGGAAAGGAGGTTCAGAAAGTGGGACAATGGCAAATAATAAGTTCTGAATGATACCAAATATTCTCTTATTGAAAATACGGCAAAATTTGTTTTCTCCAAATTGTATTTAATTTGCATTGTTACCAATATTCCTCAGGTTTCTGACTCTCAAGTGAGTAACTCTCTCTCCCTGACCCCCACACAAAGGCTGGGAGGGGCAAAGTGAGGTTCAGGGTGGCTCTCCCTGCTCACTGCTCAGCCCACAGGCTGATTATGTCCCTTTTGGTTGGTAGTGCCCTACTGAGGTTGTTGGCACCCAGGGGACCGGACACAGTCCAGAGCACTCAGCTGCACGTTACTGCCTTGAATTCCCCAGCACCTGTCTCTGACGCCAGCTCAGAGCCTCTGCTGTGCCTGCTCACCGCTCAGACAACACACATGCCCAGTGGAATCTGCCAAACAGGTTTGTGTTCAGGGATGAACCAGTGTGGGAGGATACTGTATACAATGCTGACAGTAATAAATTCCCACATCGTCAGCCTCCACCCTGCTGATTCTCAGGGTGAAATCTGTCCCTGACCCGCTGCCACTGAACCTGTCTGGGACCCCAGTGAAACAGTTGGAAACCCTGTAGATCAGGCCTTGTGGGGACTGGCCTGGCTTCTGCAGGTACCAATACAGATAGGTGTTTCCATTACTGTGTACGAGGCTCTGACTGGCCCTGCAGGAGATGGAGGCTGGCTCTCTGGGGCTGATGGACAGGGACAGTGGGGTCTGTGTCAGCACAATATCCCCACTAGATCCTAAAATAATGAGAGATAAGTACAGGTTGGAGAAACCTTATAAGCCATTTTTATGATTTTAAATTTCATTTATATCAGGCTAAATCATATTTCGTGATTTGATTCTTACTTTAAATATATCCAATATTCATGGATAACCCAAGAACTGCAGGGCACAGAATGGCCACATTTTTTTTTCTTTCGGCATCTCACTAAAGCACTGTTCTTCATTCCCTTTACTTTCCTCATAGCTTTCACTATCTCAAAACTAAATTGCCCTACTGGAAGGCAATCTCACCCCTGGACAGAACACATATAGGGACTAACAGCACCTAGACAGCTCAACGTCCCCACCCCAATCTCCTTCCTCATCCATCCTCTGCTCTTACCTGGGACCCAGAGCATCAGAACCGCCAGGAGCTGAGATGGGAACCTCGTTTTGAGAAGCTGAACTGATGAGTCTTAGTAAGTAAACACAAGCTGAGAGCTGACCTTTATGTCAGACTTCCAAGTATGCAAATCCTGTGGTGGGTATGGGAGAGTGGAAAGAGCCAAAGGAGGCTGTAATAGGTCTCTCTCCTGGGAGAGCAGTACTTAAAATGACTTCTTGTTTGGAGGGAAACTAACAGAGTCAAATTCCCTTTGGCCTGCATGGGAAGCAGGATCTCCCTGTGATAATCAGGATCTGTGGCAGGACACAGTGCTCATAGCCCTGCCTTCTGAGAAAGCTCCAGAGACCCTGACGATACATGCGTGTCCAGAGCTCATTTCTGGCAGGTGAATGGCCATCCTGCCTGGATTCTTGTCAGCTAATGTCCAGGAGGAAACAGGTCCCAATCCCACTCCTGCTGATTGACCAGCAATCTCCAAATCCCAGGAGGAGCTAGAGTCTCTGGGATATGCTGTTTCCAGGTTAATGGTTTAGGCAATTTATTAATGATTTATTAATGAATTAAACTCACCCTGGGACCTCGTGAATTATCTACTCTTTAAGAAGATTAATGTAAGAAGAATGTGAAAGGTAGAGAAGAATTTCTCACTTACAGGAGGAGAACTCATAGTCCTGCAGAAGAGAACAGGAGAGAAGACAGAATTTTATGCTTCAGCTACTTTTCTCTCTCTCCCCAGAGAGACTAATAGGTGGATAGCTATATAGAGAGACAAGACAGGCAGATGATAGACACATACACACACTATATGGTGCATATTAGATATGGCACACACACACAGACACACACACACCAGATCAAATAAAGAAATTTCATAAGCCCACATGGTCTAAGAGGATGAGACAGAATGAATAATGTTTCCCATTTCCCCTGAAAACAATGTTTCCCCTACCCATACAGAAGCTTCTTCATCATGAGTAACCAGTTTCTGTCAGAGGTTCTGGTTCCTTGTTAGCTCTGTGTGAGAAGTTTTTGTCTCTCTTGGCTTTTATGTTCATTGTCCACAGCTTTGAGTCTGTAGTTCAAAATGAGATTCTGTAGGTGAGAATGGCAAGGACGGGATAAAACTTCTAATAATTTGAGGTCACCTGTACCTATGACGGACATTTTCTGAGGTCTTCAGTGAACCACAGTCACTGTGGAACAGAGTGCAGGTTGAGAGCTGCATGGGGCATCAGTTTACCAACCAACTTTCATTAAAGTAGGAAATAACCTGATGATTCTGCCTGTGTCAGCTTGATGTAGTTGTTAGTCTGGTGTTGGTGCAAATTGTGTCAACCTCAAATTACCTCACAACTCAAGTCACTGTCCAGCAAACAAAATCCTGGAGAAACTGAAGGAATAGAATTTGCAGTTCTGTTATATCTCAGGTAATTCAAATCCAAGGTCATACTGAATTGAAGAGTTACAGAATACATGTGACTCCAGGCAAGATACACAACAAATCTCGGTCTGAATATCTTCTAGGAAATCCTCCTAGAGTGTGATTTTGTACCAGAGTTGGAAGAATTATTGTGTAAAATACTGAAAGGTACTGAAAGCAAACCCTGAACGCTATGGGGGGACTTGGGTGCTGATGACAAGTTGTGATAGAACTAGGACTAATAGCCCATGTCCCATATGTTACTAGCTGTCATTTATTTACTCTTCCATGTGTTTTCTCCCCTGATGTTTTCTTAGAGTGCTAGCCAAGCAATCCCGAATCTTACTGTTTTTTTTTTTTTCAGTGTAACAGTATTCATTGTTTTTGCACCACACCCAGTGCTCCATGCAATACGTGCCCTCCCCCATACCCACCACCTGGTTCCCCCAACCTCCCACCCCCCGCCCCTTCAAAACCCTCAGGTTGTTTTTCAGAGTCCATAGTCTCTCATGGTTCTCCTCCCCTTCCAACTTTCCTCAACTCGCTTCTCCTCTCCATCTCCCCATGTCCTCCGTGTTATTTGTTATGCTCCACAAATAAGTGAAACCATATGATAATTGACTCTCTCTGCTTGACTTATTTCACTCAGCATAATCTCTTCCAGTCCCGTCCATGTTTCTGCAAAAGTTGGGTATTCATCCTTTCTGATGGAGGCATAATACTCCATACTGTATATGGACCACATCTTCCTTATCCATTCATCCGTTGAAGGGCATCTTGGTTCTTTCCACAGTTTGGCGACCGAATCTTACTCTTGAAAATGTCAGCCCTCCTAATGAATCCTGCTGGTGAATGATTCAGAAAGTTAAACCACTGAAAATGAATAAAATCAGGAAAAAAACAAATAGGACAATTTTAGATAATATCATAAATCTTTTTTTTTAAAGATTTTATTCATTTCATTTGACAGACAGAGATCACAAGTAGGCAGAGAGGTAGGCAGAGAGAGAGAGGAGGAAGCAGGCTCCCTGCCGAGCAGAGAGCCCGATGCGGGGCTCGATCCCAGGACCCTGGGATCATGACCTGAGCCGAAAGCAGAGGCTTTAACCCACTGAGCCACCCAGGTGCCCCGATAATATCATAAATCTTAAGATGAGTTTGAAAACTATTCATTACACATGCTAAATTAAGAATCACAATATCTAACACTGTTTGTCAAATATACCAAAGAAAATCAGAATCACATTACCCATTATCATATGCGAAACCTAAATGTATGGAAATTTGGCTGAAAATTATTCATCCATCATGTTTATTTACTGTGTATCAGTTTTGAAACTATGTTTTGTATAACGTATTCCTAAGAATGCTTTAACTTCAAAAATATTACTATTTCCTACAAAACTTAACATGAAAACTTTAAAAGTCTCCTTTTGTGTTTGGCTATTTATCTCATAATTTCTTGCCCTGAAATACCTAAAAAATGCAAAACCTTCTAAAAGTTCTTTGTTGACAAAAAAGACTTGGAAATTTTCCTCTGCTACCTGTAGACTGAAGGAAGACTATTCCTAATTGCTAAAAGGAGTCTTTATCTCCTGTGTCTGTAGGAACTTTGTTGTACCCTGGACAATAAAAGTGACTTCATCAACGTTGGTCACTGCACACCACACAGAAATCATCAGCATCTGTAAGGGATGTAAGAAGAACCTCCATGAGGTCCAGATGGGGAACAAGACTCTAGGAGTCTCTAATCTTGACCACAGTCACGTCAATGAGCAAGGTCTTACGCAGGTGGGTTTTGTTGCATTTTTTTGTCTCTTTGCCATGGGATGTCACTTTGGAATCCATAAAACTGGAAGCCAGTGTGTCATTTGTGTCCCTTGGGGCAATTCTCTTGCTGCTTTGTTGATGTGAGTCCATTATTCTGGGGTCAGGGTGTGTGGGTGGGGAGTGTGATGCTGTTATACATTCTGTAGAACTTGATCTATACATTTTCTCAAGCCAAACAGCACAAACTTATAATGCTTTGGTGAAGTTGAGGGACAACAGACCTATGTCCTGACTGAGTCCAAATACAAGTTCTCTCTGCCACCCAGCAGAGGGAGTGTCCCCAACAGGAGGTGTTGGGTAGATTCTTGGGACCTGTGACTGAAATGGGTCACCTTTTCTAAATAACTTCAAATATTCACCCACTAGAGGATGAACTTACAGAGAATAGTTTTGGCTCCAGGCAGCTCCTATATATATGTGAATCTGCTGATCTTCTGACTTTATAAGTTATTTGAGAGCCCTGATCTCTGTATACATAATCTGAATTCCTTCCCAATATTGTCATTTCTTTTCTTTGCACATTTTGGAATAACTAAATAGGGAAATAAATTTTCTAGAGCTGAGACTCATGTGAGTCCTGTGAAGAAATGGGAGCATGTCTTATGTTGGATGTGAAGGTTATTCCTGCATCAGTGCTAATCCTTGGGCAGGGACCCCAGTCACCACACTCTAATCAGGGAAAGTGAGACAGAAGTTCTCTTTGACCAGAGGCCTCCTCATAATCCCTCATTTTAATAAACTCTTAACTCTGTGTAGCAGTTTGCATCCCCAACCCCAAAGTGTCTCCTATGAAGGATGGAACTTCTGTCCTGAGGAGTTCTCATGAACTCCTATAGCTTTCTTTTTAGTTAACAAATATTCTTCCACTGCTTTAATTTGAGATGGATTGTTTACTTGTTTGTGTGTTTGCTTTTTCTCTGTGGAAAGCTTGTTCCCTTGTCTCATCCACCAGACAACTACCGTCCCCCATGTGTCCTTCTAACAGAGAGCTTTCTCATCAGGGCAGAGAGGACACATTCTGAGCTCAAGCCCAAGTGCCTTAGGGAAAATAAAAAGCAAGGTTTTCTCAATACATCTATAGTAAAACCTTAAAGTCTTTTGTTTGAGACCTGGCCTTCCCCTGAGTCAATGTGCTTGAGAGTAGGAACGGACTTAGGTCCAGGAACTGAGTCAGAAGCTGTGATTTTGGGCTTCAGGAACCATGAACTAGAGTTTTCCAGTTAGAGAGACAACATACTCTTAGGGTCAGCACATCGACTTAATTTCTCATAACCTGTGCTTAATTACCTACTGCCACATTCTCTCTTTCTGACATCATTCTGTCCCTTTCCATTTTAGAAGATGGAGAAAATAGACAGCTTCTGCCTATGCAGGTTATTCTGACCATGTGATCTGTGCTACTCTCTGACATCACTGGTCACAGGCATTGTTCCCCAGAAAGCAGACTCACATCGAATATAGCATGTGTGACACTGGCTGGGGAATGTTCTTGACATCACCAACTGCGTAAGGAGAATGCAGGATTGGGCAGAGGGGGAGTGGAGTTGGGATGCTGTAGAACAAAAGTCTAAGCAAGCCCCCCAGGTGGCGCAGCCCTGTGGTCACCCTCCATAGTGGACCTAACTGGGGACACACAGGTCAGATCCTTACCCGGGATATCATCGCTTCCTTTCCTGCTGTACCTTCATGCACGTGTGATGCACCTGCAGAGGCGCAGGCTTTTTCATAGTGGTTCCTCCTTTCTCCTCAGATTCCCTTACTTTCATTATTATTTTTGTTCTTTATGGAATGTATAGGAGAGTCCATCACATTATTTTTGTCATCA